AGCAGCAGCAGCAGCAGCAGCAGCAGCAGCGTCAGGGGCCCTCGGCCCGATGAAGGCACTGGGCAAAGGAGACAGAGAAACAAAAGCCTGGCGGCTAGCCAAGAGGCAGCTAGCCAGCGGGCAGCTAGCTAGCCAGCTAGCCAGCAGCCAGCTAGCCAGCAGCCAGCTAGCTAGCTGCCCCATGAGGCGCAGAGCAGCAGCAGCAACTCGCAACAGGAGAGGGAGAATCTGCAGCAGCAGCTGCTGCTGCTGCCGGTGCTTTTGCTGCTGCTGCAGCAGATGCTCCTGTTGCTGGTGCTGTTGCTGCTGCAGCTGCAGCTACTGCTGCCGCTGCTGCTGTTGCTGCTTCAGCTGCTGCTGCTGCGGGCGCCGCTGCTGCTGCTGTTGCTGCTGCTGCTGTCGTTGCTGCTGCTGCAGTAGCAGAAGGTGGAAGGAGAGCAGCAAAGAAGGCCAATCGAGCCTCCAGCTGCTGCTTCCTTTTTTCTTTTATTTTCCGGTTTTCCTTGTGGGGCCCCACAGCCCCCCGTGGGGGAAAAGCCGAGGGTTTAGGGTTTAGGGTTTAGGGTTTAGCGTTTGGAGTGTAGCGGTTTGGGTCTACGGTTTGTCGCCTACGGTCTAGGGTTTAGGGTTTAGGGTTTAGGGTTTAGGGTTTAGGGCTTAGGGTTTAGAAGGAGGAACACAGGCAGAAAGGCACTTGGAAGATTTGAAATGAATAACTTAAAGGATTAAACCATTTAACTGGGGTGTATGTACACCCTAGCCCTTTAAAAAGACAGACAGACACTGGGGCCCCCTGGGGCCCCTCCAGTACCCTTTGGGGGCCCCGTCAGGGGGCCCCTGTAAGGGGGCCTCCTGTGGGCCCCTGGGGGGCCTCGTGGGGGCCCCCGAGCCACGTCGTCGATGCTAGGTGTTTGCTGCAATGTCTGGCTGTTTTTAATGTAAATTGTGTTTTAAAAAGTGGTTTTTAATGTATTAATTAAACAAAATTGAAATGAAGTTTGCTGCAGCAGGAGAGGGGGTTGCTGCTGCTGCAATATACAGACACCAGCGGTCCTGAGTGGCTTCAGGTGTACGCGCAGCGCAACAGCAGCAGCAGAAACGCGAGCTGCGCGGCTGCGTGGGGATCCTGTTGCATTTAAATGAATTAATTGAATGAATTGAACTAATTAAATTGATTCAACGCATTTATGCTGCAGTTTTAGCGGAGAAAAGGCTGGCTGCTGCAGCGGAGTCTGCGGTGGCAGCTGCAGCTGCTCTGAGGCGGCTGCAGGCTGCTGCGGCGCCGCGAGCACGCCGAATTGCGGGATTAAACACTTAAATAAACCCTTTTTATCATTTAATTCCTCTTTTTATTTATTTGAAGTCCAATGGACATTTGTATTCGCCAAAATATCACTGCGGACAGACCCTCCTCAGTGCTTCGGCTGTATGCTGACCCCCGCGGAAGAGCCCTCCGCTGCTTTGCGGTGTCTGAACAGGGCGGCCTTGCTGCTGTTTGCCTCTGCGCCTATCCCAAGCGGGCTCTTGCTGCAGCAGCAGCAGCTTTCTCCTGCAGCAGCAGCAGCAGCAGCAGCGGCGGTTCCCCATCCCGCGCACCCGAGGCAGCCGGGTCCCCTGAAGGGCCCCCTGGGGGGCCCCTTGAAGAGCTCCCTGGGGGGCCCCCTGGGGGCCCCTTTTGGGGGCCCTTTGGGGGGCCCCCAGGAGGGCCCCTAGCCCAGGGGGACCCCACAGGCCTGAGGCCCTGCTGCTCGAGTCCCTCTGCAGCAGCAGAAGTAGGGCACCAGGCCCATTTGCTGCAGCAGCAGCAGCAGCCCTCCGCTGGGGCCCCTGAGGGGCCCCCTCAGGTGCCCTGGGGGCCCCTGGGGGCCCCCCACGGGGGCCCCAAAGAGGCCCCTTTTAAGGGTTCGCTGGGAGACCCCCAGCAAAGTCCAGAGAGTGGGGGGCCCCCAAGGGGCCCCCCTCGGAGGCCCCAGGGGGAACGGCTTGCTGCGAGGCCCCCTGGGGGCCCCCGAAGCAAAACTCCAAGGGGGCCCCGTGGGGGCCCCCGGGGCCCCCCCACTGGGGCCCCTATTGAGGAACCTGTCGAAGACCCTTTTGGGGCCCCCGGGGGGCCCCCTGGGGGGGCCCCTGTGGAGACCTCTGGAGGGCCCCCTTTGGAGGCCCCTGGGGGGGCCCCTTGGGGGC